GGCTGGAGTACAGTAGCACTATCTCGGCTCACTGCAACTTCCGCCTCCTGGGCTCAAGCCATTCTTCCACCTCAGCCTCTCAAGTAGCTGGGACTACAGGGGCACACCACCACACCTGGCTAATTTTTGTATTTTTTGTAGAAACAGAGTTTTGCCATATTGACCTCACTGGTCTCCAACTCCTGGCCTCAAGTGATCTGCTTGCCTCGGCCTTCCAAAGTGCTGGGATTACAGGTGCGAGCCACTGTGCCCAGCCTTGAAGTTAAATTTATTACCCATTTTAGTCCTTTTTAATAACATGAGAAATACCTTAGTTTGTTTCGGCTGCTATGATAAAATGTTTTAGATTGGTTAATTTATAAACGAAAGAAATATATTACAGCGCAAGAGGCAGGGAAGTTCAAAATCAAGTTTTCAGAGTTGATGTCTAGTGATGGTCCATTCCTCATGGAATGATACCTTCTATGTGTTTTAACATGGCAGCTCTTTTGGGCCTCTTCTATCAAGGTACTAATACCACTACCCAGCTACTTCCCAAGGGCCCCTCTCCTTTGCCTCCTAGTACTATCACACCAGGATTAGGTTTCAATATGTGAATTTTGGGAGACTCAAGCATTTAGACTATAATCAAGCAATATCTTATTAATCTTTTTGTCTACAGCACCTTGCACAGCAAGTGTAGATAATTGTTGAAAAAAATAATAAACTGGTTAACTAAGCTTAATAAACTCAACCATAATGATGGAATTAAGAAAGGAAAGAAGTAGACAAGGAACTGAAGCCCTAAGAAAGGAAATAACTCTGTATCCCTTTACCTCTAGATTTATGGTCATATTTTATCTTTTTTCATAAACCTTATGCACGATCGAATTATTTTTTAATGTCCCAGTAGCCTGAACTTGAATGCAATGTATCCCTAGCACTTACAACAGAGCCTGACCTTTAGTAATGACTCTGAACATTTGTTGATTGACCAGGTTATTGTTAGGTATATGGGAAAAAGTCTTATCTCCACTTGATAGGGAAAGCATTGCTCAAAGTTCGTTAGTTGCTAGCTTTTTTTTTTTGAGATGGATTTTCATTCTGTCGCCCTGGCTGGAGTGCAGTAGTGTGATCTCAGCTCCCTTCAACCTCTGCCTCCCAGGTTCAAGTGATTCTCCTGTCTCAGCCTCCCAAGTAGCTGGGATTACAGGCGCCTGTCACCATGCCTGGCTAATTTTTGTATTTTTAGTAGAGATGGTGTTTCGCCATGTTGGCCAGGCTGGTCCCAAACTCCTGACCTCAGGTGATCCACTGTCCTCGGCCTCCTCACGCCTGGGATTACAGGCGTGAGCCACCACACCTGGCCAGTTACTAGGTATTTAATTCATTCAAACTAATATTTATTGAATCCTACTCTGAACCAGACACTATTTTAGAAATTGAGGGTACAGGGATGAACGGTACAGTCAGAATTCTCTGGGAGGTTATCTTTTATTTATTTTTTATTTTTTGAGACAGGTCTCGCTCTGTCACCCAGGCTGGAGTGCAGTGGCGCAATCCTGGTTCACTGCAGCCTCTGGCCCTGAGCTCAAGCAATCCTCCCATATCTCCACCTCCCGAATAGCTGGGACCGCAGGCACTCGCCACCACCTGGCTAATTTTTGTACTTTAAGTAGGGAAGAGACCTTGCCATGTTGCCCAGGCTGGTCTGTAACTCCTGAGCTCAGGTGATCTGCCTGCCTTGACTGTGCTGGGATTATAGGCCTGAACCACAGTGCCTGGCACTCCAGGAGGTTATTTTTTAGAGAAGAAGAAGACAATATACAAATTAACAAATAAATGAAAAAATAATTTAGATGATATTATATGCAGTGTTGAAAATTAAGTGACATGTAATTGACATAGAAGTGGGCTATTTTTTTTCAGTATTTAAGCAAGAACTTTCTGAGAAAGTTACATTTAAAGTACAAATTCAGTGCCAAGTAGAACCAAGTCTTGTGAAGGCCTGGCAATAGAGTATTCCAAGCAAATGAAAAAAATTGGAATGACTCTGAGGCAGAAATGAATGTCATGTTTGGTTTTACAAACTTTTACAATGTACCTGACAGCAAAGATTTTTTAGTAGTTATTTTATTTTACATAGTCCCTCTGGTGTTTTTTTCATAGTGAAAAACAATTTAAACTCAAACTTTATTTCCAAGGTCTTTTTCTCAGTAGTATCTTAAAAGTGGAAGTGGGGAAATTATTTTAGGCTTCAATGCTAATTTGTTTTTACATAAGGGTAACCTATGAATTCTTCTAATTGATTCTTGACTAGTATGAAAAATTATTTTTCATGAGTATACATACAGTGAAGTTGTGATAATTCAAAAGTGCTAATAAAAGTAAAACAAAACTGTGTAATATTTAGCACAAATACCCTTTTTACATGTATGTTGTTTTACATGGCTTTTTTTTTTTTTTTTTTGATCAATAGTGTTTGCAAATATTTTCCCATGTCAGGAAATATAGGTTTACAGTAACTTTATGAGCTGCGGAGTATTCAGTTGTGTAAATGAAGCATACTTTATATAAATAATTCTATATAATTGTGTATCTATAGTTTTTCACTATTTTTGAAGTATATTATTATAAAAAACATAGATCTTTTTTGATAACTCCTTAGAATAAATATCTAGATTTGAAATTTCTCATTAGGAAAGTTATAATAATTTACATTCCTAAGAACAGTGGGTATATAGTGTATGTTTCCCCACCACCTCATGAATACTGACTCTTGTCAGTCTTTCTTGTATTTGCCAAACTGATGCAGAAAACCTTTTTTAAAAGAAATGACATTTTCCTTCAATACAGGTTGAGACTGAATGGATTGTGATTTTGTTACTTGCCATTTGTACTTTGAGAATTGCCTCATCAGATCATCTGCCCTTTTTTTTATTGTGATATCTATTTAAGAATTTTTACAAGTTTTTTTTACATACAGATAATAAACCTTTTCATTTGTAGGAAATAACATTTCCTTAATTCAGGTTGTTTACATGTGTGTTGTACTTCTTTCAATTTGCATGGTTTTGTTTTTTTAATGTTTGTATTGTCAAAATAAATACCTTTAGACTTGAAAATTTGTCATGTTTTTAACACAATCTTGTGTTTCTCATACATTGACTTTATACTACTTTTTAAATGACATATAGTTTACATCTGTATAGATACATTCTTTCCATTTACAAATTCACTACCATAAATATTGTGTGGTTTAACTGTCTTTGTATACTTTAGTTGCTTCATGTCTAACTCCTATTTTCCTAATTTATAGTATAGTACATCATGATGAGGCTTAATAGGGACTATGCTTTGTTTTTTTGTTTTGTTTTGTTTTTTTGTTTTTTTGACGGAGTCTTTCATTGTCGCTCTGGCTGGTGTGCAGTAGTGCGATCTTGGTTCGCTGCCACCTCTGCCTCCCGGGTTCAAGCAGTTCTCCTGCCTCAGCCTCCCGAGTAACTGGGACTACAGACACACGCCACCATGCCTGCCTAATTTTTCTATTTTTAGTAGAGATGGGGTTTCACTATGTTAGGCTGGTCTCGAACTCCTGACCTCATGATCCGCCCACCTCAGTCTCCCAAAGTGCTGGGTTTGCAGGCATGAGACACCGTGCCCAGCCTATGCTTTGTTTTTGTGTATGTCCCTGGCACACCGACTGTCGCCCTGGTATTTAGTTGTTGTCTCTGTGAGTCAGGATTCAGTTTGAGATAACAATAATTACAGTAGATATTTTTAAGTAGAAAGGGAATTAAGTAGGCACTTACAAAATCTTTAGAAGTCACAGGTTAAAATAACATTTGCAGGAATGTCGCTAGATGTAATTAGAAAGCTAGGAAATCAGGAAGCTGTCAGTGCAGCTGCTACTTGCAGGTATATACTGCCTGTGGTGTAATTTAGCCATCTGGCAGAAACTACTACAACTATTTGCTCCAGAGCTAAGCTGCATTTAGTATAGTTGTGATGACAACACAAATGTTCTGCACTCTGCCTCTGAGCATTCACAAAACTAGTGTCTGGAGGCTGGAACTACAGAAAAAAGGTACATAAAGTATGTGCATTTTTGCTAGCAGAAGCAGAACTAGTAGCCAGAGCCTCTTCCTCAGTTACACCTTCCCAGTTTCACATGTGGGCCTTTTACTGGTAAACTTAAACGATATCCAGAACTCTAGATGCAAGAGAGTTTGTGAAGTGTACTTTTATTTTTAGAGAATAGAATGAATGTTGGATATCAGTCTTTCATATTCATCACAGTCATTTAAGATGGGAAATGATCATATAGATAGGAACTGATGAAAACTGGCTGAGAATTTTGGCTTATTGTTAGATTAATTTATGTGAGCAATTTATTTTTTCTCTTCTTTCAGCACTTGCTAGAAGTAAATTCTTTAAAGCACCTGACAAGACTGACACTACAAGATCGCATTACCAAGTCTCTTCTTCATTTACACAAGAAGAAAAAACCTCCCAGCATCAGTGCCCAGTTTCAGGTTATTTCCTGTTTTGCTTAAAACAAATAAGAATCTGTATCTTTCAGATTGTCGTTGAAAGGTTAAAGTGATCTGCAGGGTACTCGAATAGGATTTTAATTTATGTGACTAAAAAGCCATATATTACTGATCATTTTGGAAAGAAGAACCAAAGATGAAAAAAAAAAAGTCAGATGCCTTTGTTTTTCATCCACATATGTCTGGATAATGGCTATCTGAATATTTGTTATTTTCAGTGTGAGGAGAAAGCAGAAAATTGATGTTATAAACAAATCTGCCTTTAAACCCTGCTGCTTAGATAATGTCACTGTTAGCATAATGATGTATGTTTTTTTTTCCCTGCTTAAACCTCATGCTGTTACCATTGATAGTTAGCTAAATGAGGCTGAAGGGCTTTTTTCTGTGTATTTATTTTACTTTTGTCTACATAGAAATCCAGTTCTTTTTTGGGGGGCTTTTAGGAATAAATATGATAATAGTTAACCAAATTTCTTCCAGAATTAATTGTTTTCAGATTCCTTTTTAAATTGCCTCTTCCATTCTTCTCAAATCATCTGTCTCCTAAGATCTTTTCATTTGGTAGATATTTATGAAAATAAGCAAAATATCTGGTAGATAACAATGCTTGCATAATTTTACTCTATTTCATGTTTATATCACAGAAGCAATGCTCACTGTTGAATAAAAATTTCCTTATTCGTGATAGATGTATCTGTATATGTTAACACTTTTTAAAATGCTTCCTTTACAGCTAGGATGTTTGAACATAAATTATCTACTAATGTATCATTGTGTGATTTATAGGCACAGTTCTTCAAATTGTGGGCTAGAAATGTCATTTTATTTTAGGTAATTCTCACCATAGGCCTAAAGGAAAATTTGAATCTGTGAAGGCTGTTTGGTCACATGCTTTCTCTTTAAAAAAAAAAAAAAAGAAAAAAAGCAAGATCAAGGAGCCGTATAACTCATATGTGCAAATAAGCTTAAAGGAAAGGGAATTGAGTATAATGAAATCACTGCCATGAATTTTAAAAATCCTTCTTAATAATCATATGGGTTAATGGCATTTGGTCGGGAAGAATGAGAAGGTAGTGCTTAGGGATGTCTGTCTTTACCTTGCTGCTGTCCTCACAATCCAGACTTTGTAGATTAGAAATGCAAAGATTAATGGGTTATAGAAAAAAAATCATGTTGAGTGATATGTTTATTAATATACAACATAAATATGAGTCATAAGCAGACTTAATACAATGGTTAGTTTATTAGCATATTTCTCCCTGATTAGCAAATCCACGTGGGAAGCCAAATTCTGATCAAAAGGTAATTTGGTGAGCTCAATGTCTGAAAAGGGAACATTAATCTCATGATTATGAAAGGTAGAATTATTAAGCTGTTAAGTGTCCTTTGTTTTGTTACCTTGGATCTTTTACAGATGCCATGTATACCGAAATCATTCTTTAATTTGAAGAACACCATATAGCTAGTACAATAAAAACTTAGTTATAATCACAATCCTGTTGTGTCTTTTAAAATCCTTCCAAATTTACATATTCTTAATTTATATTCATGAATTATATTTAATTTTTAGAAAAAGAGTCATCTTTAATATTTCTAATAGACCATTAAGTTATTAAAAAAGTAATGAGTTAATTTTTGATTATTTGGAAAATATAGATGAGCAAAAACAAGTGAAAGTCATCTACCATCCATAGATAATGACCAATGTATAGTATGTTTTCCAGGCCCTTTGCCAAAAATTTACACATATGCATTTTCTAATAGGTGTTGTCTAAGTTTTTTTCCAATTGTTCTAGGATAATTACTATTATATTTATTATAAAGGTGAGGAAACCAAGTAGCAGATGAGGAAATTGCAGGTGATCAAAATGGATGGCACCCGGCCGTCTTTGACTCTGTGCCCTTCCTTGAATGCTTATTTTCATGAAAATGATATCATAGAACTCACAAAGGATTAACTGATACAGAAATTGCCCTTCTGCTATAAACAACCAGAAATTGGACAAAAGATACTATGAGTCAGATATTTTCAGATATTAGACAGTAAGCATTACGGGGTTCCAATCTGTGAGAATAGGGGAAATAAATGAGGAAAGCCCCAGATTAACACCTAAAGATAATTTGCTACAGCTCAGGAAGAAGAAACCCAAACAAATGCCAGTGGTCTTGCTAACTGAAGAGATGGAGATAGAAAGGTAGAGGCAACTAGAATTTGTGAGGCAGAGTAAAGAGGAGAAGGACATTGTATGAAGGGAAAGAGCTACACTGCTGAAGGGTCTCCTTGAGTCTCTGTGACTGACTACTGATCTCTGCATATGTGGGTTAAAATTCCATGAGATTGGGGAAAGAATGATTATTCTAATCACCTGAATCCTGTAGACCTAACAATTTCTGGTATTTATACAGGATTAGAGGAGTAGTTCTGTTCTCATCAGCCAGAGTGAAACGACCTTTTTTTACGTGAGGCATTAGGTAGAATCCTCAGAAAGACATTGTTTTAGCAATGGGACCAACATAGTCCTAATGTAAAGACTGCTCTGGCCCTGCTCTCACAAAACTAAAAATCAAGTTTTAAAAGAATCAGACTGATCCTAAGTAACTTAACTACATGTTAAGAAGAATGTTTGTCACTCTTTAAAGGAATACAACAAAATCCAACAATGTAAAACACACTGACATCCAATGAGAAATTACAAGGCAGAGAAAGAGTCAGGAAAAAAATAACCCATAACAAGGTGGGGAAAAAGTCAGTATTTAGAGACAGACTTTAAAATGATGAAGACGATGTAAATAGTAGGTAAGAATGTCAAATTAGCTATAATGTATCTTTTAAATATGCCCAAAGATATAACAAAAAATATGAATATGATGAGAACAAAATAGATTCTTTATTTTGGAAGGTGATGACAGAGCCTCTGGATACTTCCTCAGGAGATAGAGTTGTTCTGTCCTCTCCTTTCTTTCACTGCCTGTTGGAACCAATAAGGGCCATTTGTATTATGAAAAAGAAAAAAATGAAGATATGAAAAAGACTAAAATGAAACTTTTAGAGATTAAATATGTAATATTTGACAATAAAAAATAAACTAAATTGGATTAACATCTGTTAGTTCAGAAGTAGTAAATTTGAAGTCATAGTTTATTAAAGCCCAGAGAAAGCAACAAAGATGTAAAAAAACGAAAATAGCAATAACTTATGAAGCAATATGATGCAGTCTAACATAGGTGTAATTGGAATCTCAGGAGAGGAAAGGGAGGAGGGCACAGAAAAACATATTTGAAGAAATAATGACCAAAATATTTTCTGATTTGATGGGGGAAAAAAAAAAACTGCAGAGATCAAAGAATCTCAGTAAACCACAATCAGAGCAAACAAAAACACACCAAGGCACATTATATCAAATTGCTAAAACCAGTTAAAAAGAGAGCATCTTAAACTTAACCAGAGGGAGAAAAGAGACATTTTGTGTAACAAAGTGAAGATCATCAGAAACTATCAAAGCCATGAGACAAGAGAGTGATATCTTTAAAAGACCATAAAGAGAAGAAAAGTCACCCTAGAATTCTATGCATGTTAAGTAGAGACATTTTCAGACCAAAAAAGCTGAGATAATTTATTACCAGCAGATCTATAATATCAGAAATGTTAAATATGAAAGAAAAATGATGGGAAAACCACATGGAAATTTGAGTTTACACAAAACATGAATAGTGCCAGAATGATAGAAATGTAGGCTAATATTTTAAAAACACATTTTCTTGGACAGACGTGGTGGCTCAAACCTGTAATCCCAGCACTTTGGGAGGCTGAGGTGGGCGAATTACCCAAGGTCAGGAGTTCAAGACCAGCCTGGCCAACATGGCGAAACCCCGTCTGTGCTAAAAATACAAAAATTAGCTGGGCTTGGTGGTGTGTGCCTGTAAGCCCAGCTACTCAGGAGACTGGGACATGAAAATCACTTGAACTCGGGAGGTGGAGGTTGCAGTGAGCTGAGATTGCGCCACTGCACTCCAGTCTAGGCGACAGAGCAAGACTCTGTCTCAAGAAAGAAAGAAAAAAAAAATCCTTTTCTCTTTTTAAAATAATTGGCTATAGAAAACAAAAATAATAGTATATTGTGGGGTAGAAATAAAATGTATAATAAAAGTATCCCAAAACACGTAAAGTGGTACTAAGTGGAAATACACTGTTGTTAAGCTTTCACACTATACAGAACATGGTATAGTGTTATTTGAAGGTAGACTGTGATAAAGGTGCAAATCCTAGAATAATCCTTTAAAAAAGAGTTAACAGTTAGTAAGGTGGTAGCAGAACTAAAATGGAACCATAAAATATACTCGATTAAAAAAGGAAAAAGAAAATTCAGACTGATAAATAGAAATAAGTAACAATGTGGTAGACTGTAATGTATATTTTCTGTATTATTTCAGCCTTTTGGTAAATTACCACCTTCACTATACTCTAAAACATTCACTCTTGAGAGTTTGTCTTCTGCAGGCTAATGTTAGATTTTAATGAGTCAGTCCCTTTGACCACCAAACTTTCAAAGTAGGTAAAGCCTTAAGTTATGACTGGGATGATATAACTTGATCATAAAGCAAAGAACTGTGCAGTGTTTATACATGGACCTGTATGTCAAAGTCTGGTCACTTCATAGCACTATGTCTCTACTTAGTAGTTTTTTAAAAGAAGTTGTGTGGCTTTCTCCTAATATAATCGGTCATACACGTTGTTGCTTGTTATAGCTACTAAAACTTACTGATAAAGCTGCTGCTCCTCTCCATACTCAGCTGCCTAGGGATCCACAGGTTGCTAGGAAATATATCTGCCATTGTATCAACAGTCAACATACTCTTTGCTTCAAGTAGGGAAAACTAAATTTTTCTCTTCCTAGGAGTCTTTCTAACTGTGGGTATAAGGAAGATGTAGAATACATTAAGCTTGTTTTTTTGTAAAAGTGTGAATTCCCTTGGAAAAGGCTGATTGGTTTGAAGAAATTAACCAGCTTTTAATTTATAGCTCTAAGAATTTAGTCATTAGTCAAATTAAACCCAAGCTGATATTCTCTGGACATATATATGTATAGTAAGTTTTCTAGAATAGCTACATATTACTTTTATAATAAGAGGAAAAGCCATCTAAAAAAGATTATATTTTTTTAAAAGATAGTTTATAGCAGCAGGAAGCAGATTGGTAGTTCCCTGGGGCTGTGACTCAAGTGGTTATTGACTGCAGATGGGCAGAAAGGAGCTTTTTGGGGGTGATAGAGGAGTTCTGAAACTGGACTGTAGTGATAGTGGCATAACTGTGTAAATTTACCAGAACTCATTGATTTGTGAACTACAATGTATATATTTTAATAGTATGTAGATTTTATTTCAATAAAACTGTTTAAACCAAAAAAGTCACCATTAAAAGAAGAAAAAGAGCAAGACTAAAAAAGGACTCATATATGTAGTATATGAAGAACTATTAAAAGGAAGAAAACCTAATAGACAAATGGACAAAAGTCTCAAATTGGCAATTTATAAAAGATGATATGCAGAAGGCCAATACACCTATGTAAAACCTGTTCAATATTATGATTCATGAGGGAAATGCCAATTAATACCACAAAGCAATGCTGTTACATACTCGCCAACATGGCTGAAATAAGCTGATTATACAACATGTTGGCAAGATTGGGGAGCGTTCAGAACTCCTATATGGTACTGTTGAAATGTAGATTGATACAAGCATATTGGAAAACAGTTAATGGCCGGGCGCGGTGGCTCACACCTGTAATCCCAGCACTTTGGGAGGCCGAGGCGGGCGGATCACGAGGTCAGGAGATCGAGACCATCCTGGCTTACACGGTGAAACCCCGTCTCTACTAAAAATGCAAAAAATTAGCCGGGCGTGGCGGTAGGCGCCTGTAGTCCCAGCTACTCAGGAGGCTGAGGCAGGAGAATGGCGTGAACCTGGGAGGCGGAGCTTGCAGCGAGCCGAGATCGCGCCCCTGCACTCCAGCCTGGGTGACTGAGCGAGACTCCATCTCCAAAAAAAAAAAAAAAAAAAAAGACAAGTATGTTCATAGCAAAATTTTTCATAATAAACTGGAAACAACAAAATACTCATCTCTTAATGGATAGTTTAATGGTAGTAATGCCAAATAATGGATCACTAATATACAGCCCTGAAAATTTACAGAATATAATTGTATGCAACAAATACAAAATAGTACATGGTTTATTTTTCCATTCATATGAACTTTAATAGTAGGTTAAACTAACTTATCGTCTTAAAAGTAAGAATAATAATTACCCTTGGTTGGGGTGTGGAAATATGAGTACATAGTTTATGTACAGTGACCTTGCTAAATTAAATGGGATGGTGCACAAAGGGCTTCTGAGATTCTGATTTTATACATATACACACACACACACACACATATGTTTAATTTGGGCTCTAGTTACAAGAACATCTTTTGTAAAAAGTCATAATCTACACTTTTGATTTTAATATTTTATGTGTATTATTATTGTCATTATTTTGAGACAGCATCTCATAAAATGTTGCCCAGGCTGTACTCCGACTTCTGGGCTTAAGCTATCCTCCCTCCTCAGCTTCACAAGTAGCTGTGGCTACAGGCATGTGACACTGTGCCAAGCCCTATGTGTATTATACTACAATAGCATTTGCAAGAATAATGAACACTGAAAAGTTTAAAAATTTGTATGTTGGTGTAATAAATTTCACAACAGTAACAGAGGTCTATATATAGTTCCAAGACTTCTTTGTTTTACTTGAACTTGTGAAATGTCAACTCCTAAGTAGACTGTGACAAGTTAGGTTTGTATATTGTAATCCCTAGAGCAGCTACTAAAATGCAGTACAAAGATAGCTGAAAAGTAGATAAATTAATATGGAATATTAAGTATATTGAACAGAGGGGAGGGGCACCTCACCAAAGAAAGTACACAGATGGCAAATAAGCATATGAAAAGATGTTCCACATTATATGTTACTCGGGAATTGCAAATTAAAACAAAAATGAGATACCACAGCACAGCTATTGGAATGGCAAAAGTCCAAAGCAATGAGAACACCAAATGCTGGTGAGAATGAGGAGCAACAGGAACACTCATTCATTGCTGGTGGGAATGCCAAATGGTGCAGCCACTTTGGAAAACAGTTTGACAGTTTCTTATAAAACTGTATTTTTACCATATGATCCAGCAGTAACAACTTCTTGGTATTTACCTAAATGGACTGAAAACTTATGTCCACACAATAACCTGTACATGGATATTCATAGCAGCCTTATTCATAATTGGTAAAACTTGGAAACAGTCAAGACGTCCTTCAGTAAGTGAATGGATTAACAAACTATGGTACATTCAGACAATGGAGTATTATTCAACACTAAAAAGAAATGAGCTTTCAAGCCATGAAAAGGCTTAGAGGAACCTTAAATACATATTACTGAGTGAAGGAAGCCAATATGGAAAGGTTACATACCATAAGATTCCAAATATATGACATTCTGGAAAAAGCAAAACTATGGAGACAGTAAAAAAGATCAGTAGTTGCCAGGATCTAGTTGGGGGAGGATGAGTAGGCAGAGCATAGAGGACTTTAGTCAGATTAATCTATATGATAATGCAATGGTGAATAAATGTCTATATATTTGTTTAAACCCATAGAATGTCCAACATAAAGAGTGAACCCTAATGCATATTATGGACTATAGTTAATAATCATGTGTCAGTATTGGTTCATCACATATAACACAGTAATGCAAGATGTTAATTATAGGGGAAATTGTGCATGTGAGGGTAAAGGGGCATGTGAGAATTCTCTGTATGTTCTGCTTATTTTTGCTGTGAACCTAAAACTGCTTCAAAAGTCTATTTTAAACAGGCAGGGAGTAAGAGGAGGAAGGGAGGAACAAATGAGAGAGGACAAACAGAAGGCCAGTAATAAAACTGGTAGCCCTAAATCCAACCATACTAATTATTAACAATGTAAATGCTCTAAACAGTCCAATTAAGAAATGGATATTATCTGATTGGATAAAATAAGACCTAACTGTATGTTATCTACAAGAAACCTGTTTAAATACAATGATACTAAAGGGTTAAAAAATGAAAAAAATAAACCATGCAAACAAAAACCAAAAGAAAGCTATAGTGACTATAGCAGAGTTAGACAAAGTAGACTTCAGAACAGAGAAAACTACCAAGGATAAAGGGAGATAATTTCATAATGATAAAAGGTGCAATTTACAAAGTCTTACATGTGTATTCATCTAATAACGGAGCTCCCAAATATCTGAACCAAAAACTGATAGAATTAAAAGAAAAATGGACAGATCTGCAATTATGCTTGGAAACTTCAGCATACCTCTTGGTAATTGATAGGGTAAGTAGACAATTAGGAAGGACATGGAAGACTTGAATAGAATGATTAACCTACTTGACCTAACTGAAATTTATAGAACAGCCTAGCCAAGAACTGCAGAATATACATTCATTTTAAGTGCCGATGAAATACTTGCCAAGGTAGATCATAAACTAGGCCATAAAACCTTAATAAATTTGAGTTAAAATCATACAAAATGTTGTATTTGTAATAGAATTAAACCAGAAATCAAAGAAAAATATCAATCCCCAAATATTTAGAATATATAAAACAGACTTCTAAATAATACATTTTTTAGAGGAAGGAAAATTTTTAAATATTTTAAATAAAATGAAATATCAAAATTTGTGCAGTGCAGCTAAAGCAGTGCTCCAAGGTTAATTTATAGCACTAAATACTTTTATTGAAAAAGGAGAAGTATCTCAATTCAATAATCTAAATTTCTACCTTATAGACTATAAAAAGAATATATGAAACCCAGTGCAAGCAGAGAGAAGTAAATAATAAAGATAACAGCAGAATTGAATGAAATGAAAAACGGAAAAATAGACCCCAAAAAAAAAAACAAAAAAAAAACAAAAAACACTGACACCAAAAGCTGGTTCTTTAAGCAGATCAAAAAAAAATTTTTTTTTTTTTGAGAGAGTCTTACTTTGTTGCCCAGGCTGGAGTGCAGTGGCACCATCTCGGCTTACTGCCCTTACTTACCCACACCTCCCAGGTTTAAGTAATTCTCGTGCCTCAGCCAGGCACCACCATGCCTGGCTAATTTTTGTATTTTTTTTAGTAGCGACGGGGTTTCACCATGTTGGCTAGGCTGGTCTCAAACTCCTGACTTCAGGTGGTCCGCCCACCTCGGCCTTCCAAAGTGCTGGGATTATAGGCGTGAGCCACCAAGCCTGGGCTGAGCAAATCAAAAAGTTCATAAACTTCTAGCCACTAATCAGGAAGAAAGAGAGAACATACAAATTACCATTATCAGGAATAAAAAAAGGGATATCATTACATACTCTGTAGACATTTAAAGTAAAGCAAGGGAGTACTACCTTACTGGATACCCTCCTGAATCATTTTAAAAGTTGTAGGATACATGAGTTTGAATAAAATTGTTTCATGAAATGTGAAGAAAAGTGAAAAAAAGTTCTACATTTGATTATTCTGAAATACATCTGCGATATTTACTATTTCCAGGCTATCTGCTTTAATACTAAACTACCATCCTTATCCTTAATTATCCATAATTTAACCAGTATAAGAATATACACAATGTGCTTTTCAAAAACAAACCTCTTGCTATGTGTGCCTCTACTTTTTGAATGTTTTGCCAGCATATTGATCACATTTATATGTTACTTGTTAGTAGTTTGGAATGGGAGAGTATGATAATTATATTGCTTTCTGTTGCAGACATCATTAAGCAAGCTAATGGAAACACTTGGTCAAGCAGAACCATATTTTGTAAAATGCATCCGCTCTAATGCTGAAAAGGTAAAAATGTCCTATAAATGAGAGCACATATCTCGGCTTACTTCAGACTGAGCTTTAAATACTTTTAAGCAGAATAAGTGGAGGGGAAGCACTAACTATAATATTTATAAGGAAAATAGTGTTTTATAAATACTTTCAATGGATTTTTCCATATTTACCTGCTTGTAAGGTGTTTATATAGATTTGATTTAGCATCACCCAGAATTTGAGAAGCAAATATGTCTTGAAGTCCTGTCAGAAAAGAGTTTTCTTTTCTTTTCTTTTTTGTTTTGTTTTGTTTTGAGACAGAGTCTCATTCTATCGCCCAGGCTGGAGTGCAATGGCATGATCTCACCTCACTGCAATCTCCACCTCCTGGTTTCAAGCAATTCTCCTGTCTCAGCCTCCCAGGTAACTGGGACTACCGGTGTGCACCCAGCTAATTTTTGTATTTTTAGTAGAGACAGGGATTTGCCACGTTGGCCAGGCTGGTCTTGAACTCCTGACCTCAAGTGACCTTGGCCTCCCAAAGTGCTGGGATTACAGGTGTGAGCCACCACACCCAGTTGTAGGTTATCTTGTTACAGATTTTGTAGTGATTGGACTATGTGGCCTCTGGGGGTGATTACATTCTTTTTGAGCTTTTAAGGTCCTCTCTCTTCACAACCAGAGAAGCCTGGAAGCTTGGTTTCTCTCTTTTCCCTAGGGTTGGGCAGTCAGAACTTCTCTGAAACTACCAGCTGAGAGGTGAGCTTGCCTTACCTATCAGCTTAGTTGTTATATATCTTAACCAGACAACCTCCAATCAATCTCTGGATACTCAACAGTTAGCCATGCTTATAAACAGATAATTTGGAGATCTACTGTTCTGGGTTAATCTTTTTTCCATTTGCTTTAGCTGCCCTTAAGGTTCAATGATGCCTTGGTACTTAGACAGCTTCGATACACTGGAATGCTGGAAACAGTTCGAATTCGCCAATCAGGATACAGCTCCAAATATTCTTTCCAGGTTCTGTTTTTATAGTGATATTTACATATTTAGACACATCAAGTAAATGATTCCCACATATCTTGCTTATTATTTCTTTAGGGCTTACTTATTTCTCTTAATTCTTCCTTTCCATTTCACGTTTTGTATACGGAATTGAAAAGGGATAGACAGTATTTACTTTGATTGAATGGCAGCAATCTCATTAAGATTATTGTAATAGAATCCAGTACTTGGTTATTCTCATTTGATCAGAATGTTTGCTAATACTAAGTTTACTCCTGATATAACAATTCTTTGCACTGACCTCTCCAGTAACTGAAATATTTCAATGAGAACTATCTAGTGAAAAGATTCCATTTGGTTTTTCCTGAAGTTTTCTCAGCAGGATTTTCTTTCATAGTAAGCTGCCAAGAAGGCTCACAGCTACTCTTATCAGCAATTGCTGCTGTGGGTATGGAAATTGTATTGAAGCTGTTCAGCAACTGAGCAAGTCTTTGCTGTTACTGGGACGGAAAGCCTCATTCTCAGTTATCCTGCCACGTTTGCTTTTTTTTTCCCTGATAGAAATTTTAGGTGCTTGTTAAATAACTTTTTCTTTGGTCTTCTATAAAGCTTCCTCAAAAGGGATAATTAGCCTCTGCCCTTTTTTTTTTCCTCTCATTCCCTTTTGATGATATGATATGTAGAACCCAATATCTTTCTCCGCCTCCTATGTTTTTCGAATTAACCTTTTATTATATCTTAAATTAACATGCACTTCTTGGTTTCACCCTGTTTAAAAGAAAGAGGAAAAGATTAATAAAATGATAATTAGTTTAAGGTCTTGTTTACATATACTACTTTCTGATTTTACAATTTTTTTTATTATTTTTCAGGATTTTGTGAGCCACTTCCATGTACTTCTTCCCCGAAATATTATTCCATCCAAATTTAACATTCAGGATTTCTTCAGGAAAATAAATCTTAATCCAGATAATTATCAAGTTGGAAAAACCATGGTAAATATAATCTGTATAGCTCTTGTCAAAATTGAGTGCATTTATTTAAAAAATAATAATTTTTGCCTATGAGATTGTTTATTAAAAAGATAGTGAATCAGATATCAAAAGACAATTGGTTAGACCCAGGTTTTTATTTAATTATATAGTCAGTATTAATCACAGAGCTCTGGCCAGTGCTGTAGTTCTAATTTTAACTGCCTAAAAATCATCTTTCCATAGATGTTCTACTGTAATCTCCAAGTCAGCTTGCCCAAGATGAATTTAAGATTCATCTGGTCTTAAATTTATCAAATACTTTCTTTCTCTGTCATCCCTTTTCCAGTTTCTCAGTCTAGAAACCATAATTGTCTTTAGCATACCATTCGCTTTAATCCTTTCACAAAGTTTTAGGGATTTTTTTTTCCTTTTACAAAGAGATTCTCACATCACTTTCTGTTTCTCCATTACCACTGCTTCCATTTTATTTTTATTCCTTATCTCTTCTCATCTACATTGCTTATACAGTGAACAGCTTACTTATCTGATTCTAGTGTATTTGTCATTCCATTTAATTTATTCTACTCGTAATTTTAAAATTATTATCTTAATATACTTAGTTCTTTATGTCTGCCTCCTGCTTGATAATAACCCCCTCATAACCTCCTCATTAAATACAAACATCTTTCTCTTTTTTGAGAACCTTCATATTGTGGCTTCACATTACTTAATATCTTTTTTTATGGAGATTAATTGTCCTATTGTCTCCTGTGCATGCCTTTATTATTATTTTCAACTGTTTGTGTTACTCAGGTGGGATCTTTTGTCTCTGGCCCTTATTAGTTTACCATCTTCCTCTTTGGGTATATAATATCTACCTGCTCTCAAATGAGAGGTATAATTCCTGTTTCTAAAGGGATATGTCTCCTTCACCTTTGCAGCCTCCCAAGCCCTAAACATTAGTGGAATGAAGGAGTAAATAAAATAAACTTATTAATAACTTTGGACAGTGAGAAGCTTAATGCACTCTGGATTTCAAAAAGACTTATCATTGGTTTATTCATGATATGATTCAAGCTTCAAGATCTGTGGTTTTCAACTTTTTTCCCCACCGCAACACCTTTGAAAAATATGATTTATTACCAGTAATACATTTACTTATAGCAGTGGTTTCCTCAATGGAGTAATGTAGCATAATCTCTGGTGCTGGAATTTTGATACTCTTGCTGACCTTGTCATTTCTCTCTCCCTTCCTCCCTTGCTTACCTTCCTTTTTTTCTGTCTTTTTTTTTTTTTTTTTTTTTTTTTTTGAGACCGGATCTCTCTATTTTGCCATAGAACTTGAACTCCTGGGCTTAAGCAACATTCCTGTTTCAGCCTTCTGAGTAGCACCACACCCAGCTCACCTTCCTTATTCTACTGTCTCCATTTCAATTTGAGAATGACTACTTTGGATAAATCTGTAGGAATATTTATCAGTACTTCATTTACATGCCTGCCACTGTGTTCTTCTCTAAAAGCTTATCACAGAAAGGATGATTCATGAAATAAATTTCTCATTTCTTCTTTCGCTGCATTCCTCATCTTCCTTTTGGTAGGTCTTTCTAAAGGAGCAGGAACGACAGCACTTACAAGATCTGCTTCATCAAGAGGTGCTCCGCAGAATCATATTGTTGCAGCGATGGTTCAGGGTCTTGCTGTGTAGGCAGCATTTCCTCCATCTGAGACAAGCATCTGTTATTATCCAGGTGAGAAGCAAAGGATTCTTTGCATGAGATTGACTAATTTATTTGGCCTTTGTTTAGTAACCAGAACCTTTTTACTGTAAAACATTTTCAATAATAATGTAAACTTTAGAAATGAGAATATGTCATACCCACTTTTGAAGTGCTCTTAACACCCAACAGATTATCTGGCATATAATAGACTATTAATAAATATTGATTCCATTGAATTTAAATTAAATTGAATTTGTAGTTATAATGTCTTGTGAGGTCTGAGTAGGGGCTAAGGAGTTACCTAATATTTGTTGACATAGTTGTTTTTATTTAACAGTTTTTGGAGTGATGTTTGAGAGTTTATATATACTGTTGGTTTTAGACACTCATTTTGGATGATAGGTACCTTGTTTTACATTTATTTGTTTTATTAATGCCCTCATTGATTTATATCATTTCCATAATATCTTTTCCATTTGTGCAAGAAAATCTTTAGTATCTTCATCTTTGGAATGTATGTCAGGATTACCTTAAACCCATTAGTGTTATTTGGGCAAATTGTAACAAAAGAATATAATATGTTAAAATTATTAATAATTTGAAGGACATGAATCATCCAAAAACTTTAAATTAAGTTCTGTAATTAACTCCATCAAGGTTATAGTATTTAAAATAGCTGTTTTAGCCAAACATATCTGGAAGAGAAAACTTTTTTCTATTTATCTTTTTCAGTTGCACTTTCTGCTTTTGTAGAAAACTAATTTTTTTATTTTTTATTTTTTTGAGACAGAGACTCTCTCTGTCGCCCAGGCTGGAGTGGAGTGGCGTGAACTCGGCTCACTGCAAGCTCCACCTCCCAGGTTCATGCCATTCTCCTGCCTCAGCCGCTTCAGTAGCTGGGACTACTGGCGCCCACCACCACGCCCAGCTAATTTTTTTTTTTTGTATTTTTAGTAGAGATGGTATTTTTAGTAGAAATGTATTTTAGTTTCACTGTTAGCCAGGATGGTTTCGATCTCCTGACCTCATGATTCGCCTGCCTTGGCCTCCAAAAGTGCTGGGATTACAGACGTGAGCCACCGCGCCTGGCCAGAAAACTTATTTTTAATCACCAAGAATTTAGCTGCATAGGCACTTAACCTGTAATTATGACATAAGAAATTTATTCTCTTTTTTTCCTGTGAAAATGCAATGTAAGATATGACAACCAGTTTCTGTTATTTTGTCTTCCCCACAGAGATTCTGGAGGAATTACCTAAATCGGAAGCAAGTCAGAGATGCAGCTGTGCAGAAGGATGCTTTTGTTATGGCTAGTGCAGCTGCTCTTCTCCAAGCTTCCTGGCGTGCTCACTTAGAGAGGCAGCGGTACTTGGAGCTACGGGCTGCAGCCATCGTTATCCAGCAGAAATGGAGAGATCACTATAGGCGCAGGCACATGGCTGCTATTTGCATACAAGCAAGATGGAAAGCCTACAGGGAAAGTAAAAGGTACCAAGAACAAAGGAAAAAAATTATCCTTTTGCAATCAACATGTAGAGGATTCAGAGCAAGACAAAGGTAATCTCTATACTATACTATAATACTTGCTTTTTTTCTTTCTTCCCAAGTGCTTTGTTTATACCTCTGCGTTAACACTTGTCTAATTTGTATTAGGATTGGTTGTATACAATTTCTTTTCCACTATACTGTGATACTTTTACTGATTTTAACCCACATTGTATTGTCTATAATGGAAGTTAAATAAGGTTTTATTGAATTAAATTGGATCGAAAATCTACATGGTCTGTGATCATAACTGCTAAGAATTAACTTTTACATTAGGCCGAATCTTACAAAATTGGCAATATTCAACTGTTTTTACTTTCAGAAACTGTAATTTCACACTTAAATTAAAATTTCACTTTAGTTTGAGGTTTACTTTAAAATAAAGCTAATATTAAAGTGAGAGCTTTACTTCTGAATTAGTTTACATTTTGACTGAAATGCCCAGGTAGAAGTTATACACTTAATGAAATATCATCTGACTCATGGAAATAGGAAAATTGTAAAATGTGCATTCAAGTTAATTTAAGAAGTACTTAGGTATTGTAAAAAGATTTTATAACTGCCTTTTTTCTTAAATTCTCAGAAAGTATGTTCTCTTCAGTGGTAACTAAGATATTTCTGTAACCCATTTTGTCTGTTTTTATATAGATTTAAAGCTTTAAAAGAACAAAGGCTAAGAGAAACAAAACCAGAACTTGGATTGGTGAATATTAAAGGATATGGATCTCTGGAAATTCAGGGTTCAGACCCTTCAGAATGGGAGGATTGTTCTTTTGACAACAGAGTAAAAGCCATAGAGGAATGTAAATCTGTAACAGAGAGTAATCGAATTAGCCATGAAAGTTCGGTGGACTGCTTGAAGGAGTCACCAAACAAGCAGCAGGAGAGAGCCCAAAGCCGGAGTGGTGTGGACTTGCAGGAAGATGTGCTTGTAAGAGACAGACCCAGATCCTTGGAGGATCTCCATCAGAAAAAAGTAGGCCGGGCTAAAAGAGAAAGTAGGAGAATGAGAGAACTAGAGCAAGCTATATTTAGCTTAGAATTGCTGAAAGTTCGTTCTCTTGGTGGTGTTTCTCCTTCAGAGGATCGCAGATGGTCTACAGAATTGGTGCCTGAAGGCCTTCAATCTCCACGGGGTACACCTGATAGTGAGAGCTCTCAAGGAAGCTTGGAACTTCTGAGCTCTGAGGAAAGCCAAAAGAGCAAACTAGAATCTGTAATTTCAGATGAAGGAGACTTGCTGTTTCCATCACCTAAGATATCCAGCAGTCCAAAATTTGATTCACGAGACAATGCCCTCAGTGCCTCAAATGAGACTAGCTATGCAGAGCATTTGAAGGATGGAACTATGAAGGAAAAGGTGGTCTGCAGTTCTGAGTCTGTTACCTGTAAACCACAGCTGAAAGACTCCTTCATTTCAAATAGTCTGCCTACTTTTTTTTATATCCCCCAACAAGACCCACTGAAAACAAATTCCCAACTAGACACAAGTATCCAAAGAAACAAACTATTGGGAAATGAAGACACACCAGGGGAAGCTCTTACTTTGGATATCAACAGGGAAACTAGAAGGTATCACTGCTCAGGAGAAGATCAAATTGTTCCTCCTTTGAATATAGAGTCTTCTAATCCTATACTTAAGAAGTTAGAAAAGCTAAACACTGAGAAGGAAGAAAGGCAAAAGCAGTTGCAGCAACAGAATGAAAAAGAGATGATGGAACAGATTCGCCAGCAAACAGATATTTTAGAGAAGGAGCGCAAAGCGTTCAAGACAACTGAAAAGCCAAGAATTGGAGAGTGTTTGGTGGCACCATCTTCCTATCAGTCAAAGCAGAGAGTAGAGAGGCCATCCTCTCTCCTCAGCTTAAATACCTCAAATAAGGGAGAACTTAACGTACTGGGGTCCCTATCAGTAAAAGATGCAGCTCTTGCCCAGAAAGACAGCTCCTCTGCTCGCTTACCCCCAAAGGATAGACCTGTCACCGTGTTCTTTGAAAGAAAAGGAAGTCCATGCCAATCTAGTACTGTTAAGGAATTATCCAAGACAGACAGAATGGGTGCCCAGCTGAATGTAGCCTGTAAACTCTCTAATAATCGCATTTCAAAAAGAGAACACTTTAGGCCAACTCAGTCTTATAGCCACAATTCTGATGACCTTTCCAGAGAGGGAAATACTAGGCCCATTTTCTTCACTCCAAAGGACAATATGAATATTCCCCTGTAAGTGAAATGTTTATTTATGTTTATGTATAAATGGGAAACTTCTTGGAGTATTTTTATTAAGGTGCCTTGCTCTGCTCCAACTGTTTGTGTAAAGTGGCTGCTCAACTTGGCCATTTTCTCTTTGTAAAAATATTCCCTAATTGTTGACTCTACCATCACCTGAAGTTGGTTGTAGTTATACCCTAGGAATCCTTGACTAATCATGAATAGCAGAGTAAATACTGGGTTCCTCCCCATTAAGTGAGAAGCATTTGTGAAGGGCAGTACAGTGCCTGTAAACATAGTAGGCATTCACCGAATACTGATTGCTTTACAGCTGTGAGGTTTAGTAGTCCAAGGTTGTTCATTTCAGGCTTTAAAGAAGTTAATTTGTTTTGTTACAGCTGTCGGCCTATTTATGATCATCATTACATTCATTTTACTTCTTTGTGTGTGATAAACACATAACATAAAGTTTCCCATCTTAACCATTTTTAAATAATACAGTACAGTAGTGTTAACTGTTTGTTTTGTAGAAGATCTCTAGAACTTTTTCTTCTTGTAAAATAAAACTCTGTACCCATTGAACAACTCTGCTTTTCCTTCTAGCCCCTGCCAACCATCATTCTACTTTCTGTTTCCAAGAGTTTACTTTTTATACCTCATATAAATAGAATTTCTTTTTTCTTTTTTCTTTTTTTTTTTTTTAATAGATGGAGTCTCACTCTGTCACCCAGGCTGGAGTGCAGTGGTGTGATCTCAGCTAACTGCAACCTCTGCCTCCTGGGTTCAAGCAGTTCTTCTGTCTCAGCTTCCTGAGTAGCTGGGACTACAGGTGCACGCCACCATGCCTGGCTAATTTTTGTATTTTTAGTAGAGACGGTTTCACCCTATTGTCAGGCTGGTTTCAAACTCCTGACCTCAGGTTATCCACCCGCCTCTGCCCCCCAAATTGCTGGGATTACAGGTGTGAGCCACCATGCCCAGCCCTGAGTAGAATTTCTTTATACTTTTTTAAACTAGTGGTAGTCATGAGAAAAGCATTTTTAAGTGGTACATAAAACCAAATTTAACAAAATTGAAGATACTTGTATTGTCTTTGTATTTGGTAGATTCTTTTGGTTCTTGTGGGAGAATGTCATCATTGAAATGAAAGGAGGGCTGTATCTTTGGGCTAAGAAAATAAATTTTACATTAACAATGAAAATAACCTTTTCTCTCCTTTTATGTATAACCCGAACATTTAAATGTTCCACCCTTTAAAATTTCATATGGATTTTAGAGAAATCCTTTGTAAATGTGGGCAAGAGATGATCAATAATTTGTTTTTCCACCAAGAGTTTCTATAGTATTATAAAGTGCAGTTGAGCTTAGTGACAACTTTAAGTATTATTCCCACCTATTAACCTACAGATTTCCCAGAAGTTCAAAGGCTCTGTGTAGCATATGCACCCATAAGAGAGTGTTAAAAACATTTTCCCTGTCATTCTAAGTTTAGTGATACATGCTATTCCATGCATATCTGTGAGTGAGCTCTTTAATATTCTTCTTTAATGTCTGTTAATTATGACATTTATGTGTGTGTTTGTATTATAGATGTATACACTTACAAAGTAGCTGTTGGGATCCATGAATTTGTTTTGTAGAAAACTTAATTGTAGATTCCAAAAAATATTAATCATCCTTGTGAATTATTTATCTTACTTTTCCAAGATATATAGTTGTAGGTCTATTTGAGCTGATTTCCTTTATTGCTTTATTAATGGTCTACTTATCTTTAAAATTATTGTATATTAGATTATATTAAACTCTACAGATAAAATTCATACTTTAAATCTCGTCCTATTGTATAAGTAATACTAGAAACATGAATATTTTGTAGAATCATAAATGTTGGTGCTTCTGAATTATGTAGTCTAGTTCCCACATGTTATAGATAAGGCCACTGGGGCCCATAGAGGTGAAATGACTTATTCAAGATCATATATTTAGAGAAATGGCTGGGACTAGAACTTGCATTTTATCATTAAGGATCGGCATTGGGTTTTATGATTAGAAAGTAATACTAGGTTAGTGTCCCTTTTGTACTGTAGTGGATCATGATGAGTACACAGTAGTTTTTAACTGTTTAATGAGAGAAGACAAAAAAAATCATAGTGAAGTCTAAAAATTGCTGTGAGTTAAAAGGTTAATTGCAGTGGTCAAGTACTATGAAGATTCTATTAATCGTTGTTTCTCTTTGGAGGATAAATGAAGGTCCAATAGGCTCAACTGTGGCAAGAGAGATTTTGATAGCCAGAAGAGAATCCTTTAGGACAAGCTAGGATTGCTAGGCTTACATATATTACATACAAAAAGGGAGATCTCTATGAAGACTTTAGCTAGCAAAGATTGCATCTATTTGTATTTGTTTCGGGCTTATTGCATAGAGGCAAAGGGCAAGATAATTTCTTATGTTTCCTAGACTTTCTTTTATAAAAATTAAATGAAAGATTTTGAATGGAAGAACAATAAATCTACCAACTAGTATCATAAGTTAGTGTCTAATTTTAGCCAGCACTATGCTTGGAAGTAAGATATGATTCTCAAGGAGCTTACAGTTCTACTCAGGAGAGATTATCAATATGTTGTTGTTGAGACTTATGGTACTGAGTTAATATAGGTAATTGGGGCCATGAAGGTGCAGGTTATATACACTTTTTCATCAGATTCTGACATCTATTTCTGCCCAGAATTTAATGATAAAATAGTCTCATCATACAGTTATTCAATCAAAATTAAGTTTTCATAAGCTAACACTGTAATACCTGTATGGTCTGGAGCATACTTTAAGTTTGATAACAACTTCTTATCCTGCCAGTGTTGATTTTATTCTATTCAACATGAAGCCTTTTGTTTGTTTTTTGGGTTTTTTCAGACAGAGGTTCACTCTTGTCACCCAGGCTAGAGTATGCAGTGGCACGATCTTGGCTCACTGCAACCTCTGCCTCCTGGGTTCAAGTGATTCTCCTGCCTCAGCCTCCCAAGTACCTGGATTACAGGCACCTGCCACCACACCCAGCTAATTTTTGTATTTTTAGTAGAGACGGAGTTTTGCCATGTTGACCAGGCTGGTCTCAAACTCCTGACATTGGGTGGTCCGCCTGCCTCGGCCTCCCAAACTGCTGGGATTACAGGCATGAGCCACTGCGCCCGGCCTCAACGTCAAGTTTTAAAACTCAGACAATGGACGAAAGCTACAAAGAGAGATTTCAGAAGGAGTTTTCTAACCAATAGGAACTATCTCAGTATAAAATATAATGAGATCCTCATCACTGGATGGCTATTTTTCAGATATTTTATAATGATTAGATGGAAAGGCCCCTTGTAAGACTAGTATTCTAAAGATTCAGGGATTTGGTATTTTCCTTTCCTCATCATCAGATCTATTTTATTTCTTGAGTTTTATTTTGCAACTAGTATTCTTAAACATGTCATATTCATAGTGGAATATACCCACTGATCATCAGGACAAGGCCTCTAGTAATTCAGTCATATGTGTAGGCTCAGGATTATTATTACTAATTAGCTAAGCAGAAAAAATATGACTTAGTGTCTTGGGAATTGACTAAGACCTGAAAATATTTATGGAATTTGCTGGAAGTCGTTAACCTGGCTGCCATGGGATATCTGCTAAGAACTGAAACGTAATTTCATTGTTTTATTTAAAGTGTCAGCAAAGAAGCCTTAAACAGTAAAAATCCTCAACTCCGTAAAGAAGATGAACCAGCATGGAAACCTGTGAAGTTAGCTGGGCCAGGCCAAAGAGAGGTAAGTATTGGGTCTTGTTTATCTATCTTCTATGCAAAAGAGATGTACATTATTTTGGAAATTGTTATTCTTGTAGGTAGAGCACCTCATCTACCCATTTACTCCCAAGTGTTTTTAGAGAAAGAAGCCATGAGCTGAGACTGTTATAATTATGGAGGTGTACTCCAGGCAGGGAATAGTGCCTAAGAACCCAGTTGCTAAGAAAAAGAAGGCAATTTGTGCAAGTGACTTTGTTGACTTATTATGGCAGTGAAAGATGACTTCTTTGGCTATGTAGAACAGTGTAGATTTAGCTTTCATTCTCGCCCTTCGTTCAGAGTAATGTATCAAATTCCTTTTGGTCATCCCTGTCACTTCTCCTAGTGGAAAGGGCATGGTGGGGTGGAGGGATATTTCAAGAAATTCATGAGCCCTCTGATGTCTTTCATTGGCATCATCTCACAAAGAAAAAAAAACCCAAACATTGTTGTGTTGTTTGTTTTATCATTTGGTCAAGCAGGTTGCCAGACCGGCCCATAAAAAGAAAGCTCGAATGGCGCGGACGCGCTCCGATTTCTTGACTAGAGGTACTTTTGCCGATGGGGAGGGGGATACAGAGGAAGATGATTACGATGACATTATTGAGCCCCTTCTCTCCCTTGACCAAGCTTCTCATTGTGAGCTAGGGCCTACACCCAGCCTGGATCAGGCCTCTCACAGTGACTCCGAAATGGTAATTTTACAGCAATATAAGAAAAATAGCAAGCAAATCTGATGGAAATAGTCTTTGCTAATCTAAAGCTAACCTTCACAGCTTCTTCCCATGTAACGGTTTGTACATGGGAAACCTCAGTGAACACAGCAACTAAGCTAAACCTTAATTTAATAGAACTCAAATAAATGGCACTTTAAAAAGGTATAAATTAGGCAAAATTAAGATTATTTGACTTAGCACTAATGTAGAAATTTTCCATGTTGTATCTTAAAAGGTCTAGAGCAGTGGTCCTTACATTTTTTCTGTAAAAGGTCAGATAATAAATATTTTAGACTTTGTGGGGCATGTAGTCTCTATTGCAACTACCTAACTTAACAACTTAACTTAGCCACTATAGTGTGAAAGCAGCCGTAGACACTAAGTAAACAAATGGGCATGACTGTCTTGTAATAAAACTGCAAAAACAGACAGTAGATTGTATTTGACCTGTTGTCCATCGTTTACTGATCCTTGGTTTAGTTTACTGATCCTTGGTCTGAAATAATCCAGTAGCTTCTAGCTACAATGCACTTTTACATTTTTTGCCTGTAAACTTGCTTCCTCCACCTCACTTTTCACTGATAAGAAATAAACATGAATTTTTAAACATATAGTGAGCAAAAAGTGTCTTCCTGGACCAACCCAGCCAAATAGAAGGCTATATATAATGTGAATTTGCATTAATCACACAATATAACATTGGTGTTGCGTTTGAATAAAGCTGCACTATTTTAAGCTAAGAATATAACTATATCATCTTCTCAGCCCAAATCAGGTGTATATGTGGTTTGACAAGTATTAGTGTATTGATGGGTATATTAAGGCAAAGAGTTTCATTTTGCAATTGTCCTAGAAATATATAATGTAAGGACCATATGTCTAATATGAACCAAAACATCACTGATGAAGTGGAGTGAAATAACGTTTTATTTCCATGCATATCTGTAACTGAGCTCTCTAATATTCTTTAGTGTCTGGCAATTATTGGAGAAAAATTTTAGAATGATCTTTATTTGACTCATTAAATATTCTATCTTTGAACTATTTTAAGCTGTTTGAATTGTCCAAGATTTAGTTAATTGAAATTTCTCCTATTGTCCAGAATAATCTCGTTGCCTTTTTCTTTTGTTGGAGGTATACCCAGTTTTTAAGTGACAAAACTGATGTTTTATGAAGGCAAAAACAACAAAAAGAGAAGAATGCAGGACAAGTCCCCTGATTAGATAAATGAGTCATTAACCTGAGCCGAACTGTAGGATTACAGAAATTGGAAACATTCTGTGTATCTGTTAATATATATAATTAGAGCCAAAATCTTCAGTGTAGAATAAAATAACAGCATTTTAGAGGTGCCCTGTATTTGAGTTATAAATAAGGAAATATACTGTGTTATCTGATTCACAGTTAAATACGAAATTATGTAATGGAATAAACTAATTTTAATGAGAAGTCCTGCTTTGTCTAGTATACATAGATTTATTGTTTGCAGAAAAACTTTGGCATTTATGACTGCTGTTTTGTTCCTGAGAGTTTCCTTTGTAACAACCCTTAGTCCTTTTGGTGATAGACTTTTTTTACACTGGGAACTTTTACTGAGATGAACCAGGAAATTGGGCTTTCTGCTTGGAGCATTCAGCTCCTTTCAGTGTTCTAGCCTCTGTTCACCTGCTTGACGGTCACTGCATGCCAGTAGTTGTAGAGCACTTCCCTGCACAGTGTGTTAGTCATGTCTCCAGCTTTCTCCTTTCCTTCTCTTTCATCACAAGCTGTTTTAGGAACAGGTGATGGTGCTTGTTTCTTGTGGACACTGCATGAAGAAGCTTTGCTTTGTAGAATATGCGGATAGATACTTACTGGGGTTGGGGATGGGGTGGGTAGGAACAATTTTTAAATGTGTTTCTCTTTTTATTTATCTTGAGAATATTCCATGTTCTAACATTATCTGATATTGTGAAGATGAAGATGTATTATGTCTAAATAAAATCTACTGCTATCTCACAATCCAGATATTTTCTGGATTTTAAATGGATTTGATTTTCTAGGTACATGGAGTTTTAAAAACTGGATTTTTTTTTTCTGAACAAACTGATTTTATTACTCTGAAGTGTGTCATTAAATCTTGGAAGAAATTGCTGTATGACCTTTCTAATTGTGAAGTAACTCAATCTAATGGGATAAAGACTTTCACAAATGAATTGAAGGAGATTTCATAAGCATTACCTGTTGAGTTTTTAAATTATTAATCAGTTGTTACCTGCTCTGGGAGGGGAAACAAGTGTAGTAGTTTCCCTCCTTAGTGACTTTGGTGTTTTTTAACCTCTTACTTCAAACTCTGCCATTTGAATAACTGTTTAGTTTCTGTATGCTGCTCTCACTCCATTTTTATACACACCATGTTGGCATTTATTCAAGAAGAATGGCATGTTCTGCTAAACATTTTTTTTTAAGGTAACTTTTATATATTTTTTTAGTTTCTCCGTTTTCTGGATGGTAAGCGGGTTAGTAGAATCATTTCTATTCCTTACTTATAGGATTAGTATTAGAAACATTATACTTTTCTCTATACAGTTTTCTTTTATCATCCCCTAAATTTAAAGCAATCATCTCTATGGATATGACTCCTGAATAGCTCTCCAGAATTTCAATCTTTATTACTTCCAGCATAGTAAAATTAAATTTCTCATTATTCCCCCCAAACTGCTGTCACTTCTTATATTCCTGTTTCTGCTGTTCTCTGAGATACTCTCTAATCCTTATCTGTGTTGAATTCTCTTTCTCTCTGATGTCTATTCCATGGACTGCCAGAAAAACCTGTTGATCAAACAAAGCTGTTTATTAGCTTATTACAGTAAGAAAAAACCCACTTTGACTGTATCTTAGTAATATCTCACAAGGGAGAAGTCAGGAGAGGATATTCATAAAGTTTTAGGACCTGGGCTAGGTGATTTTGAGGTCGATCTTGCATGGTAGAAAACTGCTTGTTATTGAACAAAGTTTATTACGTAAGAGTTTTGGATTGTCAGCCTTAAGACAGCAGCCACACTGTTGACTATACACTTAGTATTCATATATGTATTTTATTCCTCTAAAAAAAGGACCAGTTTATAGCATTGAACTATCTGTTCTTTGAAGATTTGGCAGAATTTTTCTATGAAACCACCTGGGAGTGGTACTTTTTTGTGGTGTAGTTCCTTGGTAAGTTTTTCTTTTTTTCTTCTAGGGAAATTTGTCTTCTTTAAACCTTTTATCTAACAGGGTCAATTTTGGTAAACACTTTTTTCTTATAAAATTATCAATTTCATCTAACTTTTCAATTTATTTGCATAGAGGTCTGGAAAATAAGAGCTGAGCACAGAGGCATGTGCCTGTAGTCCCAGCTACTCAGAAGGCCGAGGCAGGAGGATAACTGGAGCCCAGGAGTGCAAGGATGCGGTGAGCTGTGATTGTATCACTGCACTCCAGCCTGGGCAACAGAGCAAGACCCTGTCTCTTAAAAAAAAAAAAAAGATTTGTTAGACCCAAACAGTACTCAGTCTAAGGCTAATTATTCTTAACTATTGAGGTGAGATCCTCTGTACACTTTGCCCAGTGCCCTGGGAATCATAAAGTTATGTCCCCTGGCTCTTGGGCATAGACACTATTACTGACCTTTTGTGAGTGATGGGCTCAATTACCTTTAATCCTTTGAAGTGATCTTTTTCCTGGTCTTGGGTTGTTTTCTCATACAAAGTGTTGATTAGTACTCAAGCTGAATATTCAATGTGGACCTTCTGTAGATCTCTAGAGTTCTGTCTTTGTGCTTCTCACTCCTCTCCAGTACTCTGTCTTTTGTTCTCTAGTCATCATGTTCACTTTGGACTTTCAGCTTCATGTGTTCCACTCAGTCTGTCAAGTTTCACCTGGTTTCCCTCTCTCTGCATCACGGCCTAGAAACTCTCAAGGCAGTAAGATGGGACAAGTGTAGGACATACTTCCTTTTTTCCCCATCTGTCAGGGATATCTGTCCATTGTTTTAAACATTGCGGTTTCATATTATTTT